ATAGTGTACGTCCTTTCGTTAACAGCGTTATTACTGAAATGTCACACAATATTTTCCCTTTTTATGCTAACTTTTATAATACGGGCCAATGATAAGGTGCAATTTGGATTATAGATTAGAAACATAAGGTAATAAAAGACCAAATCCATATAAATAGTGTGCGATGTTTTGGTAACAAAGCTGTTACTGAACACATTTATTTGGATTCAGTCTTGTTACCTTATGTTTCCTGATTTTGTTGCTCTATGCAAAGGTGGAGGGTGCCATTGACCCACCCATTAGTAGTCAGCCACATTTCAGAGTTCCCTGTTCATGGTTACCGTAGAAGGTCGAGGCTCACGAAGTCCCCACCATACTTCGCCCTACAGGGCAGTGATCAGGGTGCATGGACCGATTTGATCTGCTCCATTGACAAGACACCACCACCTCAGTTGGCCGGTATTGTGATCAGGGTGCATGGACCGATTTGATCTGCTCCATGGACAACCACCACCACCTTATGTTTCTAATTCATAAACAAAATTTTACCTTGTCATTGTCCAGTATTATACAAAGTGATCACCAAAGTAGAAACTACAGTCAGTCCATTAAGAGGAGTCTTATCCCCAATTAGATGCCAGTATCAGAACTTTGTTTACTCTCTGTAGCACTGATAACACTCAAGTACTTTGCTCGAGTGATAGATGGCTCTTTCTCCAGAAATAACACACTGGGAATATTGCTTCTCACTCTTACTTTTAAACTTATTACACCCCCTTTTTATAGAAAATAAAAACAATAAGGCAAAATTTGGATTATAGATTATAAACACAAGGTAATAAGACCAAATCTCCAATGATAAGGTACAATTTGGATTATAGATTATAAACACAAGGTAATAAGACCAAATCTCCAATGATAAGGCAAAATTTGGATTATAGATTATAAACTCAAGGTAATAAGACCAAATCTCCAATGATAAGGTACAATTTGGATTATAGATTATAAACACAAGGTAATAAGACCAAATCCAAATAAATAAATAGTGTGTGACATTACGATAACAATGCTGTTACCATCTTCAGACAAAAGTACTGAATCTTAGTACATTTAGAAGTACATTCAGTACTTTTGTCTGAAGATGGTAACAACACTGTTACCGAAAGGTCACACACTATTTATTTATTTGGATTTGGTCTTATTACCTTGAGGAAATAAAAACATTCAATGTTTCTTTTATACATAAAGCAAACTTCTACTGTCTTTACTCCAATGAAAAAATTATTAGAAGGGCTTGGCTCATTAGTGGTGAAACTCTCAAGCATTTTTGCCAATTTAATCTACCAGAGCGCTTCTCTTAGAGCTCTAATACTGTATTGGATGATTCTGCCTTTATATGCTACACTGAAAGATGAAATCTCAGAAATGGTATACAAGTAAACTATGGACATAAGCTTATAAGACAGTAGAATTACATTTAAATATTTGCATTGACCATCTACCAATTGGTTCAGTAGTTTTTGAGTTTATCTCGAAACAGACAACAGACATTGACTTTTATATATAAGAAGATTTACGAATGGAAAAATATGTCCAGGGTAGCCTAGTGGACATGGCATCTGCTCGGTAAGCAAAACACTTTGGGTTTGTTTACCATCCCTAGTAGACACTTTTATTTTTCCGTTCATTATTACTCTTCACTATTCATCCTTTCATACTTCATCCCTAAGGATAGGAATAGTTATTATTTCTCCTTAAATAATTAAAATTATGATTTTTCGTTCTGTAAAAAAGAAACATTTGCGGTAAAACTTGTTAAATGTCGTTCAATAAACAGAGATCTTCGGATAATCTCTGGTGATAAGGCACAATTTGGATTATAGATTATAAACACAAGGTAATAAGACCAAATCTCCAATGATAAGGCACAATTTGGATTATAGATTATAAACACAAGGTAATAAGACCAAATCCAAATAAATAGTGTATGACTTTTCAGTAACAGCATTGTTACCATCTTCAGACTTCAGACATATTCAGTACGTTTGTTTTAAGATGGTAACAACGCTGTTACTGAAACATCACACACTATTTATTTGGATTTGGGTCTTATTACCTTGTGACTTGAGGAATAAGCAACAACAACACAACAGAAGATAAATAATCAGAGTAATTTTAGGTTCGAAATGATTTCTGTCACACAGGAGGGAGAGAAAAAAAGTATTATCTTAATCTTTGGATTATAGATTATAATAAAAGAAAATAAGACCTAATCCAAAAAATTTATTAGTATGTGACGTTTCGGCAACAACATTGTCACCATATCATCAGACAAAAGAATAAATGATAAAAAATATCACAGCAAGTTCTTAAATAGTACTGTTATTTAGTACAAGTTTTCTTGAAAATCTATTTTTCCTTATCTGTTATCTTGTTTAAACACTTGATAACAGTACTATTTAAGAACTTTCTGTGATATTTTTTCTCATTTATTATTTTGTCTGATGATATGGTGACAATGCTGTTTCCAAAACATCACATACTAATACATTTTTTGGATTAGGTCTTATTTTCTTGTAACACGACAGATGATAAATAATCAGAGTAATTTTAGGTTCAAAATGATTTCTGTGACACAGAGGGAAGTAAGAAAAAGTTATATCTTAATCCTGGATTGGAACCTGCCCCAGCTCAAAGTTTTGTTATACATTTATTTAAGGTAACATGGTGAGTGTTTCTATAAATAAAGGTGGGAGGGAGAAAGAGTTTCCCATCAACACAAACTTCCTGTGGCGACCAGACCATCATTCTCAATGAACCCAACTTCCTGCCTGACAATATGTTCAAGTAATTTATGGCACATTGTCACAGCATTCTCTAGTGGATCTCTAGTGGAGTAGAGCAGCTAGGTAAGTCTGGGAGTTCAGTAAAACCTCTCTATAGCGGACCCCCAATTGGACTGAACCTGTGGTTCACTAGAGCCATGGTTTGTTATAGCCATATGATAAGGTACAATTTGGATTATAGATTATAAACACATGGTAATAAGACCAAATCCAAATAAATATATAGTGTATGACGTTTCGGTAACAACGCTATTACTGAAACGTCACACACTATTTATTTATTTGGATTTGGTCTCATTACCTTGAGCCATAGTTCACTGTATAATAAAATAAAAACGTGGGGATTATTTCAGGTTTGTTATAGGAGAAGGTTTGGTATATTCCAGATTCTTTTTAGAGAGATTTTAATATATTGCATGTAACCAACACTACACCAGATATTCCAAGTACCAACCCTACACCAGATATTCCAAGTACCAACATTACACCAGATATTCCAAGTACCAACACTACACCAGATATTCCAAGTACCAACACTACACCAGATATTCCAAGTGCCAACACTACACCAGATATTCCAAGTACCAACATTACACCAGATATTCCAAGTACCAACACTACACCAGATATTCCAAGTACCAACACTACACCAGATATTCCAAGTGCCAACACTACACCAGATATTCCAAGTACCAACACTACACCAGATATTCCAAGTACCAACCCTACACCAGATATTCCAAGTACCAACACTACACCAGATATTCCAAGTACCAACACTACACCAGATATTCCAAGTACCAACCCTACACCAGATATTCCAAGTACCAACACTACACCAGATATTCCAAGTACCAACCCTACACCAGATATTCCAAGTACCAACACTACACCAGATATTCCAAGTACCAACACTACACCAGATATTCCAAGTACCAACCCTACACCAGATATTCCAAGTACCAACCCTACACCAGATATTCCAAGTACCAACACTACACCAGATATTCCAAGTACCAACCCTACACCAGATATTCCAAGTACCAACATTACACCAGATATTCCAAGTACCAACACTACACCAGATATTCCAAGTACCAACACTACACCAGATATTCCAAGTACCAACCCTACACCAGATATTCCAAGTACCAACATTACACCAGATATTCCAAGTACCAACACTACACAGATATTCCAAGTACCAACACTACACCAGATATTCCAAGTACCAACATTACACCAGATATTCCAAGTACCAACACTACACCAGATATTCCAAGTACCAACACTACACCAGATATTCCAAGTACCAACCCTACACCAGATATTCCAAGTACCAACACTACACCAGATATTCCAAGTACCAACACTACACCAGATATTCCAAGTACCAACCCTACACCAGATATTCCAAGTACCAACACTACACCAGATATTCCAAGTACCAACCCTACACCAGATATTCCAAGTACCAACATTACACCAGATATTCCAAGTACCAACACTACACCAGATATTCCAAGTACCAACACTACACAGATATTCCAAGTACCAACACTACACCAGATATTCCAAGTACCAACCCTACACCAGATATTCCAAGTACCAACACTACACCAGATATTCCAAGTACCTTCCTTTAAGAATCACTTTAAGAACATGCTGCGATATTTTTCCTCAAATATGCTTTTGTCTGAAGATGGTAACAACACTTTTACTGACACGTCATACACAAATGATTTATTTGGATTAGGTCTTGTAAGTCAGTTTGGCCTCTCCACCTAGCCAGGAAATGGTTCAAACTTTCCATTAAAAGATGGTGCCAGACAGTGGGCTGACAGGAGTAGAACCTGATGGGCAAAGGTCAGAGGAAGAAGAAGAGGAATAAAGATGAATGGCCATCCGTCAGACAGACAGGATGTACCACTCTCTCCCTCTTTCTTATCTCCACACTGGGTGAGGTAGAATGTGTCTGCCTTTGTCATCAAGACTGGGAACACTAGAATGTACCACTAAAGCCTGATACTCTCTTGAACATCCTAAAACACCCCTCTCTAGACGTGGAATAGAAAAATATGTATTCTTCTTGCAATGTGTTTTATGAACCTATCCATTTTGGTCAGTAAAAATTAAACATAGGGAGGCTTATATGTAGGTATAAATAACTTAGAAATTCAATTAGGTAAATAGCTTTATGAAGGCTGGTAAACCGTTTGGTTTTCGACCACTATGACCCGGGTTCGAGTCCCGCATTGGACACTTTTTTCTGTTTAAAATAAAAAAAAAAAATGCTCCAATGGCCCCCGATTCTTGCAAAAGTCCAACCCCACCAGCGAGTGCGAGTAACCAAACGGGGCTCTGGCATATTTGTAAGTGCAAAGTCGAACTGCTTTACACATGTGTAGACATGTGGTGCGCTTACAGTAAAAAGCAGTCGCTAACTACCCACAATGATTATCATGGCCTGTACCACGTGTACAAGGGATAAGCGAAAAAAAAAAAAAAAAAAAAATGAAACCATCAAGTTGGTAGTTCTGAGTGTTGTAAGAAGTGTCATAAGCTCCTTACATACAATAGAGATATTCAGGATGGCAATTTTGCTGGGAGGGAAAAAAAGATTGAGAGAACAAATCTTCCATGAACATAAAGACACCAAAGCTATATTATGCTGAGACACAATGCACTAAGACACAATGCACTAAGACACAATGCACTAAGACACAATGCACTAAGACACAATGCACTAAGACACTATGCACTAAGACACAATGCATTAAGACACTATGCACCATTGGAAAGCCTCCTTCACTTTATATAATTGTACACAGTCTTGTTTATATAGCTCTCCTCTTACTTTATTTGTCAACTTATGTACCTTATCTTTGACAGAGAAATCAATCAAATTGTTTAAACATCTAATCTATTGACTAGGATCACCAACCTGAGTCTACTAAGTTTGTCAAAATGGTCAATAGGTCAAGAGGGAGCAAATCCCTCAAATTATTTCTAGAAAAATTTTGTTTTCTTTCACAGATCTAGGTATATTCCTTTTTATAAATACAGTAGAACTACCTCCCTGTAAAGGACAACACCTAATTGCAGAGCCAAAGTGTCCTTTAGGGAGTGGTGTCCTCTTACCGGAGAATTGCTAAATAGACCCCTCTCCCTAAAGGACAATTTGGCTCTGTAATTAGGTGTTCTTTACAGGGAGGTAGTTCTACTATATACAGAGTAGAACTACCTCCCTGTAAAGGACAACACCTAATTGCAGAGCCAAAGTGTCCTTTAGGGAGTGTCCTCATACCAGAGAGCTACTAAATAGCAAAAATGGGCATTTTGGCAATGAAAACTGTCCTTTTTGGAGAGGTGTCCTCTAGCGTGAGTATCCTCTCATGGAAGTTGTTCTAATCTATATAAATACATTTAATGGATTGCCTTTTGAGTGAAACTAGAAAAATTGTTCTAACGGTAACTTTTTAGCTTCAAATTGGATTAAATATTGTTTTAGGAGAGGAAAGTTTGTTCTTTAATGATATCACTTAGAAAGTTATTTCACAACTACGTGGTCACAGCAGGTCATCAACAACAGCCACCTGTACCTAGTCAACTGCAGTAGTTTCTTTTTTTGTTTATCCCTAGTACACATGGTACAACTCCGCCCTTACCGGTCCCAAGCCCGGATGACAAAGGAGGAGGGGGAGCAGTAACAAGCTCACTAACAAACCTGGGCTCAGCTGGCCATGCTGATAGTACCCTGTAAGGTCTCCAGGGATACAGGATGAGCAGTGTTTGTACCCCATGTTAGGAGCGGCTGCACATGGTGTCTGTTCCTCATGTCAGAGGTGGCCATTTCTTTTGGAGCTAAGTCGGCCTGCCACTGTGTAGTGCTCCCAGTCTTAATGACAAAGGCAGACGCATTCTACCTCACCCAGTGTGGAGATAAGAAAGAAGAAGACAAATGGAACAGGACATAGTAATCATGGTGGGTAGAAGTAAGAGACTGCTTTTACTGTAAGTGCACCACATTTTTACACATATGAAAAGCAGTTCGACTTTTGCACTTACAAATATGCCAGTGCCCCGTTTAGTTACTTGCACTCTCTGGTGGGGTTGGACTTTTTTCAAGAATTGGTGACCATTGGAGCATTTTTTTTTTTTAATCAGAAAAAAAGTGCCAAATGCGGGAATCGAACCCAGGTCGTAACGGTCGAAAAGCAACAGTTTAGACCATCCTTTCACTGACCCCTTATTGCAGTAAGGAACTGAAGGAAGTAGGAGAGAACCAATAAGCAGGACAATAAAACACCATATAAACCAAAGCCTATCTACACTCATGGACAAAACTAAAGGAATCTTTCAGATAGAGGTTGCTTAGCCAGCATTCATATTTCTATAATGGACACTTCGGCCAGTTAGAGTTTTAAAAACTTTATCTGGCTGAGGTATCTATTTATTTTAGAAATATGTGCATTATCATTATCCAAAATAGTGATAAGGCACAATTTGGATTATAGATTATAAACAAAAGGTAATAAGACCAAATCCAAATAAATAAATAGTGTGTGAGGTTTCGGTAACAGCATTGTTACCATCTTCAGACAAAAGTATTGAATGAGAAATTTAACCACAGCATGTTTTTAAATAGTTCTTGTTATCAAGTGTCAATCTGTTATCTTGTTTACACACTTAATAAAAAGAACTATTTAAAAACATGCTGTGGTTAAATTTCTCATTCAATACTTTTGTCTGAAGATGGTAGCAATGCTGTTACCGAAATGTCACACACTATTGTGTTTATCCAAAATAGTGTGATCTTCTAAAAAGCATAACCAACAACTATGTAAAATAGTGCAGATACAAGAAGTAAATATGCTAATACACCACAGTTACCATCGTAGGACAAGAGTGTCGGAGATACCGTAGCAATACCGTGCTCCCAAAACACATGACCTAGAAGTATACCTTGTAGTCCTCTCTTATCTCTAACCCCAATTGTACCTCATCAATCTCTGGGGCCGACTGGCCTTATGGAGAGCAAACACCATCTGGCTTTCCAGCTGTAATAGGAATATTTCTCATTCTTGCAGAATCTATAACTTCTACTCTTCTGAGGACCATTATATAATTTGTTATTTACATTACAGTAACAAGCTCACTAAAAAACCTGGGTTCAGCTGGCCATGCTTATAGTACCCAGTAAGGTCTCCTGATCCAGGGATACAGGATGTACTCCATGTTAGGAGCAGCTGCACATAGCGTCTGTTCCTCATATCAGAGGCGGCCATTTCTTTTGGAGCTAAGTCGGCCTGCCACTGAGTAGTGCTCCCAGTCTTAATGACAAAGGCAGACACTTTCTACTTCACCCAGCCATGATGGTTGTCAAAGTTTGATACCCTAATATGATTGAGTGGAGATAAGAAAAAATAAAATTATTTACATTTCTGGTACAGAGCAGAAGGAACAAGTTCTGTCCTCCCAAGAGAACAACAGTCTTTGATTTCCAGACTTAAGTCTGGTCATCTACGGACAATGACTTTCCAGAATGGTTGCAAGATTTTCCCACTATGAACTAAGTGCAATTCTCAACCTGCAACTCCAAGACACATTATTGACTGTATTGACTCATCCATTGATGAATTCTACTCTCTCCCGGCAGACACTATCAACAAGCTTTACAAGCTTGATACCCAAATAGGATTGAGTGGAGATGAGAAAAAAAAGAAGACACATCCCCAGCAGACACCATCAACAAGCTCTACAAGCTTGATACCCAAATAGGATTGAGTGGAGATGAGAAAAAAGAAGACACATCCCCAGCAGACACCATCAACAAGCTCTACAAGCTTGATACCCTGATATGATTGAGTGGAGATAAGAAAGAAGAAGACACATCCCCAGCAGACACCATCAACAAGCTCTACAAGCTTGATACCCTGATATGATTGAGTGGAGATAAGAAAGAAGAAGACACATCCCCAGCAGACACCATCAACAAGCTCTACAAGCTTGATACCCTGATATGATTGAGTGGAGATAAGAAAGAAGAAGACACATCCCCAGCAGACACCATCAACAAGCTCTACAAGCTTGATACCCTGATATGATTGAGTGGAGATAAGAGAGAAGACACATCCCCAGCAGACACCATCAACAAGCTCTACAAGCTTGATACCTTGATATGATTGAGTGGAGATAAGAAAGAAGAAGACACATCCCCAGCAGACACCATCAACAAGCTCTACAGACTTGATACCCTGATATGATTGAGTGGAGAAAAGAAAGAAGAAGACACATCCCCAGCAGACACCATCAACAAGTTATACAAGCTTGATACCCTGATATGATTGAGTGGAGATAAGAAAGAAGAAGATGGAAAACAAAAACACCTGGAGTGATTAAATTGCTATAAAATTTTATTAAAGAATATTTTTTAAAAAGCCCATTAAAGAATAAACTTTGTAGGAGCAAGCAAGGCTATGATGTAGGTGCCATGTAGGTGTTGTCTAGGAAGCTTCTTTCCGTAGTTAAAATTCTTGGTTTAATTTTATAGAGGTCAGAGAGAAATTATTCAAAAAAATAGCCGTTAATATTTCTGTGCAGTGCCATCTCCAAGGTAATAATACCAAATCCAAATAAATTGATAGTGTGTCGTTTCAGTAACAACACTGATGAGGTACAATTTGGATTATAGATTATGAACACAAGGTAATAAGACCAAATCTATTGATAAGCTACAATTTGGATTATAGATTATGAACACAAGGTAATAAGACCAAATCTATTGATAAGCCACAATTTGGATTATAGATTATGAACACAAGGTAATAAGACCAAATCTCCAATGATAAGGCACAATTTGGATTATAGATTATAAACACTAGGTAATAAGACCAAATCTATTGATAAGCCACAATTTGGATTATAGATTATGAACACAAGGTAATAAGACCAAATCTCCAATGATAAGGCACAATTTGGATTATAGATTATAAACACAAGGTAATAAGACCAAATCCAAATAAATAGAACTATCTTCTTCTTATCTGCTATCTTGTTTACACACTTGATAACAGTAACTATTTAAAACATGCTGTGATAATTTTTTTCATTCAGCATTTTTGTCTGAAGATGGTAACAACGCTGTTACCGAAACATCAGACATTAGACTTTGGATTTGGTCTTATTATCTTGTAGTTATAATCTATAATCCAAATTGTGCCTTATCAGTGTCATCTCCAGTATGGAATACCAAGTTCTGA